ATTTTTTAAAAATAAATTCTAAGAAACTGAAGTTTACTAATAGCTTCTTCTATCTTGAGGATAAAATCAGATCACTTGAGTGAGAGAAATATAACTCATTTTCAATGTTACTTAAGACATACTTATTAACAAACATGCTTAAAATACATGGCAATTAGTTTGAAATTTCATGCACAATTAAACTCTGAATTTTAAAATATTCTTAGGCCCTGGTTTGTGTGCCTCAGTGGATTGATTGAGTGCTGCCCTAAGAACCAGAAGGTCGCAGGTTTGATTCCCAGTCAGGGCTGGCTGAGAGGCAACCCATCAATGTTTCTCTCACACACTGATCCTCCCTTTCATGCTCCAAAAATAAATAAATAAAATATTTTAAAATAAAAAGTATAAACTATTTTGCTGATTTACAATGCTAACTCTTACATACAGACTAAAATTCAACGTGCTATAAAATGTCCTGGGGCCTGCGGTAAATACACTCTTCTCATTACTGAATGAAACAGAGACACAACATCATATATGTGCTTTAAGAAAATGGAATGTGAATTTCAAAAATCCAAATGAAAACAGCCTGTGTAATTTGAGGAAGGGAGAGACCATGAACGGCAGCAGAGTTGACATTCAATGGCATAACCAGGTGCTTTACTAAAAACTCCTCACTGCCTGAGTTAAATAAACCTCTCAGTTCTCACATGATTCTGATTTAATTCAAGCACTACCTGACGCATTTTATCTGGCATTTTTATTTACTTCGTTTAACTTGGATATATCTCAATTTACTGAGGTTTGTATTTATGACTTTCAAATTAAGAGTTGTTAACAATAGATTAATTATAACTTACTTTTTTTACTTAATTTACTAAGGGAAATAATTTAACAAAATTACTTCAAAGTAATATACTTCAGTAATACACAGCAAAAATATCACTAAAATAAAGACAAGTGGTCTTCACTACACAAAAAGCAAACCATATCCAAATAAATATTTGTATTCTGTGATCTTATGCTTTTTGTATAAATTGGAATATTGTCTTTTAGATGTCAGCAGACATATTTTAAATCCCATCTGACAATATTTATCGAAAGCCCTATACATCCTTAAAATAAGCCTTGCCTATTTAAATATTCAGTATTTTTCATATAAAGGCTATAATTCACTTTGGAAATTTTGGCTTTTTGTTTTTAAAAGTTGTTAAGAATTTTTCCATAGTAAACTGCCCTGTGTTTCCAATAAAATTGAAGTTATAAATAATAAATCAGCACATAACTGAGAAAATAGTATTCACAAACATCTGTTAAAGTAGATATCAACATCAACTGTAACACATCACATGGTATTTTTAATATATTTAAATATAAAATTTGACTCAAATGCAATATGCTATATATATATATACATATAAAGTTTAAAACAATCTCTAAACAATTTAAGAAATGATTTATAAGGAATATAACTAAGGCCAAAATTAAACTCATCAAGTAAAAATAAGAATAATCATTTAATAATACTTTCATTTTATAAAACTGATTCCAAGACTGGTAATTAACTGTAATTTCTGTATTTTTAAATATCTGAATAGGAAATTTCTTTTAAAATGTCAGCATATACTTTATAAATTTCATTCTATAACTGAAATAGCATAATCAATATGCTATTGATTAAATATACTAAAAAATAAAATAAAACCTATATATTACTGAAGAAAATTATCAGCAAGTGAAGTACTTTAGATGGAAAAATTAATATCTATTTTCTGAAAGTTTTGTTACTTTTCAAAATAACTAACAGAAATCATCCTGTAAAAATATGCTTACTAATTAGTATAAGAAAGCAAAAATGCATTTCAAGTACTTGAAATAATCTCAATTTTAAAATGTAGCAATACTCACTAGGATATAATTTCATATATTTAAACCTTATTTCATATATTTAAACAATTATTTCTTTAATATATTAAAGTATTGTTTTCAACTAAAAAAAGTTATAATTAACTATTGGCTTTTTTTATGTCTCTCTAAGTTTAGGGAAATATGACCTCCAAATAAAGTAACCCAATACTGAACGATAATGCAGTGACGACAAATGTATGTGTTAAATATTTTATGTGGATGTCGTGGGTACGCTTTTCTCAGTGGGTGTGAATACACATAAAATTGTTATTTAGGTGATAAATACTTTGGCTTTAGTATCCATATCCAAGTTTTCTTTTTGTCTGTATCACCTCAATGAGAAAAAAAAGTATTTTTCCTTGCAGTTCCTATTACAAGACAGCAACATTTATTTTACTACAGCTCCAATATGCATTAATAGTTATAACCCAAACAACAGTTATCACTACCACAAAAGATAATGACGACCTAATACACTTGAGATATTAAAAGATTGTTTTAGTGTCTCCATAAAAGACAGTATGAATTCAGGTATTTTTCCAAGGTTTTCTATAAAACTAACACACTGACATAAAACAGATACAACTGGTTTTTACTCCTCCTAAGATAATAAATAAAAATTACCATATTTTAACATTTTAACATAATACTTACCAGCACGTAGGTAGTTTCAGAAGTTTTCCATAAACAGCAGTGCTGAAAGAGGGAATAATCGGTACAGGTAAGCAGTAAGATCCCCTGCAATCTAAAGACGTCAGTCCCGCCTGGAAACCAAAGATCTGAAACAAAAAGAAAAGATCCAAATGTTCACAGAGACAAAGTTTTAATAAGCACAGGATGAAATACGTCAGTTTCAATTTGCTCTACAACAGCTGCACACTAAATATGTTCCAACGTCTTTTTCCACTTCACAAACATCAACTGTTTCTTTTCTTCAATTTGACATTAACTAAGTTAGAATTAAGACATTTAAATATACAGTATTTCTTTCACATCCCTGCCCTTTTTTTAACTGATTTTTTAAGTTTCACATTTTATTTCTATAAATAATTCTCATTTAGTATTTCATTATCTGCTAAAATGCATATATTTTCTATTACTATAAATAACTACACTGTACACATTATAGGTATTAACTTTAATAAGTTACTATTAACATCATTTTATGCCTAAAAGAATATTAACTACAACAAGAACAATTTCAAAAATGTATTTGCCTTCAATTACATTACACACACAAAAATTCAAATATATCCTAAAATGTTACATCTTTTCCCTTTATCATGTGAAAATAACTGTAGGGCTTACATTTTTCACCCAGGAAATTTGGAACATGGCATAAAACACTCTTATGTTTATATTTAAAACAAGCAGATCACACTCAAAAATTTATAAACATTCCATAAATTTCTGAACACTGTATTTAGCTTAAGGGAAAAATCAATATAACATCACATTTTACATGAAATGTAGCAGAGAACTAAATATTATATTTCTGCACTAATTATTTCCAATCAGGTAAAAGAAAAACATCCTAAACAGGAAATACTAACATACAAGGACACGACAGAGAGCAGCTGTCTTCCAACAACATGTAAAAGCCCAACGTTTATCCTTCAGTATTGTTTTTTATTACTTGGGTTAATAAAGCACAAGCTTTCCTATCTCTAGGATTAACAATGAATGTAAGTTCTACAGTAAAAACAGGTTTTAAAAATCTCAATATCTATATAATTTATAAAATAAAACTTTCATTTAAGAACGTAAACCCATGATCAATTTCTTAGAAAGTATTAAGCTCTTTCCAAATGGCTTCTAAAAGCTATTATGCCCTTATCCTTCATCAGACTTACAATGTCAAATTCTTTCCTCTAAAGTTAGTTCTTAGGGAACAAAATAAGTTTTTAGAAATAAGACATTAGTTAGAATTACATATTTTAAGAGGCAATTGCATTGTAAAAGACCTACCTACCTATCTAATTTACTATCAAGGAAAATGAAAGTAATACACTTTTTAATTCCTATAAGTCCCACTATTAGCCAAGTAGCAAAAAATACCAAATTGAGAAGGAAAGAAAAAAACATGTTTCTAATACTTAAATGATCAACTTTAAAAATTAAGTTATTCCACCTTTATTCCCTTTGAAGACTTATTCTAAGCAACACTGTACATAAAGAACTTCTGGGCACTACGCAATTTCAGCATTTCATATTTTTTCTGAAAGGCCTATTATTTTAAAAGTTCTGAAATTTACATTTATTAATACAACACAAAACATAATTATTAAAAATTGCCCAACCTACAAATATTTCTAGAGGGTGCCTAAACATAATATTTTACCACATTAGAATATCTATATCCAGTTAAGAACTCTCTCAAGCCACTTTCTCACATTCTATAAAATGCCTCAACAGTATAATCAAAGACACTTATCATTAGCTGTACTTAGATGGAAACGGGTGTAGAGGAGATCCCCTGCTGGCTATTGACAGAACTGCAAAGAACTTGGAGGAAGCTACACACTATTCTATAATTGAAGCTTCTACTAAATTTACCTGTTGTCCAAAGATGCTTCTAAGAGAACATTCAAACAAGCATAAACTATAATAAAACACAGCTCATATCAAAAATATGTATTTCAATATAACCAATTTTCAACTCTTTCCTTTAAAATACAGCAAAAAGATACCTAGATTTACAATAGCTATACAACCTAATGTCAATGACCCCTGACCAAGATTATACATACACTATCTAGGAAAAGGAAAACCAGCACCGTATGAATTGAGGTTGCTTTCACCAAAGATAGTTTATATATTCAGAAATGGACTAAAAGTACTGAACACTACAAACTGTCTGAAGTGGTCAAGACTTATGAAGCAATAAGTGTAAATACTAATCTAAACTTTAGCAGAAGGAAATGTCAACTTGAATAAGACGACTTACACATCTCATTAAATGAAAACGTAAACATACAGTGCCATCTTTCTTTAAAAAATCCAAAAAGAAAACAATAAAAATACATAATATATATTAACAGTTTAAACAAATATTCTTGAATTAACATCACCTATTGAAAAAATGAAGTAGAATTAGAAACAAAACACTTTTTAAAAATATGGAACACTTCATGAATTTGTGCATCATCCTCGCACAGGGCTGTGCTAACCTTCTCTGTATCGTTCCAATTTTAGTACACGTGCTGCCAAAGCGAGCACACAAAACTTATTTCTAATAATTAGTTTTTAATAAAAATTAGTTTCTAAGTTAGGATTTGCATGATACATGACAAAAAATATGAAAAGCACACACTAACTGTAAATGACAATGACAACTGTGATGTAAAACAAGTAATTTTTATGTTGTCATTGTAATAAACTCAGTGTGGTTAGTATAACCAGCATTCAAAAGATGTTCCTTTTCTTAAAGGGACAAAAAAAATCAAACATTACCTTCATGTCTCAAGTTAATCTATACACAGTAATACCTTGTAATATATCAAAAGTAAATAAAGAATAATAATTATAACTAAAAGCCTACAACAGAAGAATGAACATTTTAAAAAGAAAAACCCTTCAGGAGAAAAGAACAGAGCCAGATCTAAATGATTAAAAATTAGAACTTCAGAGCTAGAACTGCTTAGAGGTTATTTAACTAAATCACCTCATTTTACTATGGGAAAAGTGAAAAAGGATAAAGAACTTCAAAATCATATTGCTAGAACAGAAATATAATGCTTCATTTGATTTAGCTCATCTGTAAGCTCACAATTTCACTCTGCCTTGCTTCTTCCCTCAATTTCCTCCTTCCCCTCTCCAAAAAAGTATGATCGATTCTCCACTTATTCTTAAAGAAAAAAACAATCTTTCTCACCACTACCTCTCTTCCAACCAGCAATAAAATTCTATTTCTCACCTTAATTGGCTAATGTATTCAAAGAGTAGCCTGGAGAATGCTTTTTTTTTTCATTGACTACTCATATCTTAAACCTTCTAAATCTAGTTGCTGTTCGAGTAGCAAAACTGTATCACAAAAAAAGTATTCTATTATATTTTGCATTAGATCAACTCAAAATTTATGAAAATTTGTTCTCTCTTATTAAGCAACTACATAGTATCTTAAATGTTGCCTTTTCCCACAAAGCCTAAAATATTTACTATCTGACCCTTTAGAGAAAGGCTTGCTGATGTTGCTGTAAGACATATATACTGAAAACTGGAATGGATGGGTGTAAAGTAGGTATGTTTTTCAGTTACTAGATCCTGCAAAAGTACTCTCCAAAATGATACCAATTTATATACCCACCAGCCGTGTATGAAATCACCTTTTCTACAAATCCTCGGGAAACACTGTTTACTTGAGATCAAAAATTACTAAATCTAAAAAAATCTAAAGGGTTTTGATTCTACTATACCCTTCTTATTCTCTCTCTCTCAAGTACCTACCATAGCTGTTCCTTTGAAGTAATGTAGCCTTAAATTTATACATTATTTTATAATTTACAGAGTACTTTCACTAATTTATTTTCTGTATGTTTCAAACATCAGATATTCTGTAATGTCTTGGCTACTTGACACCATACATATTCAAAGGATGGGTTTAGTAGTTACATATAGGACTTCGTAAGACATGTGAGAGTTTTATCCACTATTAAGAACAAAAAATGCTATTTTGTCATTTAGTCAATATAGACAAAATTAGCTACACAAAATTAAAACTTGAGGATTTGAGTATGTAATTGAAAATTACTTAGGGTCTAAAATGCCACAAACACAAAACAGACATTTAAACCCTATTCTGTAATATTTTAACACTCTAACAGTGAAAACTTCCTCAAAGGTTATACGTAATAATCTTCCCAAGTAACATGAACTGCTAATAAACTTTATAATAAATCAAATCAAATTTGAGTCAATTCCAACTAGCCATATAAAATAACTCTACCAAATTCTGAATTTTTTAAATATACAAGGCCACTGAAGAAGCATCAAAAAGGCAATGAAATATTCAAGATCCAAGGCTTTTTAAAAGTATTCAATATTCATAATACTAACGAAAAGATTTTCTACATATATTGTATTATTCCCATTTTGCCTACATCTAGCTTCCTGAGACATATTACTTAGCTCTTATATGGATAGTCAAACTAACCAAGTATGTAGCAAAAGACCCTTTCCCAAAACACCACTTTAACTGGACTATATTATAATAATTTCTATACTACTCCGGAAATTTAATTGAGATTTTAACATTAACAACATAGTAGCAAATAATGATTCTAATAACTTTTATATCAGTGTGTATGACAACCATATTGGTCAGCAGTAATTTTCATGACCATTTTCCTTGAAAATAAGGCACACATGCCTTATTCACTTGTAATGCTGAATGTCTGCAATATAGAAAGAACTTAATATTTACCATGTTACTGATTCCTACATTAAGTAGAATACATTGAAAAAAACTAGTGAACTGCCTAAAATTAGACCTGTTTCAACAAAACAAATATTCTTCATATTATAATATGATATTCAAGTTATATCAATATCTTAAAATATCATACTCCTACATCTCAGTGTATTAATTGTGGAAATTAATAAAAAGCACAAATATAAAATAATATATATCTAACTTTCAAACATACCTTCTGCTACACTCCACATGACATAAAACAGTGACAAACCATTCCAATGGCCCTCAAAGAATCACACTGCAACCTGATGCCAAGGCTCCACCATCATGGGAATGGGGTCCCCTCGACACTCTTAAAAATGGACTTTGACAGCTAGGAAAACATGTTCTTCTACTCCACATGGCTTAAAAACAGTCCAATTTTAACATCTTAAATACACTTAGGGGTGATCTAAAACTGGTATCTTTACATTGATTTCTTTTTACTTTACACATAAACAAATATTTAAGAACTTTGAAACGCCAAACAATTAACAGGAAACAATTAATAGGAAATAGTCAGGAGTCAATTTTTTGGAGTCCTCTGTTTTTTTAGTACTTTAACACATTCTTAGTCCTTATTTTTCACTTTTTATTTTATTTTTTAATTTATTTTTCAATTAGTTTTATAATATTCTATTACTTTCAGATGTACAACATACTAATTACATATTTATATACTTTACTGATTACCTCAACAGGTGAGCACCCATATCACACCACACAGTTATTACATTAGTGACTATATTCTCTTTGCTGTACTTTCCACTCCCATGACTGTTTTTGTAACTAGCAATTTGACCTTTAATGTTTTTCACCCATCACCCAGCCACCCTCCTACCTAGCGAACATCAATTTGTTATGTTTGTATGAGTTTGTTTCCATTTTGTTTGTTCAAAAAGATGCATGTACCCCTACATTCAATACCACATTATTTACAATAACCAATATACAGAAGCAACCTAAGTGCCTACCAATAGACAAATGGATCAAAATGATCTGGTACATACAGGGTGGGCCAAAGTGGGTTTATAGTTGTAATACAAATAAATAATATAATAACTAATAAATAATATCAGAATAAACACTGTTCCACATACTCACAACTGTAAACCTACTTTTGCCACCCTTGTATATACAATGGAATATGACTCAGCCATAAACATGAATGAAATCATGCCATTTGCAACAGCACAGATGGACCTAGAGGATATTATGCTCAATTTAGTGCTTATTCTTAAATTCAAATTTCTATAGTTTCTTTAGTCCATGAAACAATTTAATTAGGTCTATGCAATCTCTACTTAGACTATATATCTGTGTTTGCTTAGCAAAAACACTCATGAACATTTGAGTCTATCTTTTTGAATTACTTATATTTCACTGTATTACTTATTTACAAAAAAAAAAAACAACTATGTAAGAGCTGACCAAAGCCTCTAATAATTAACTTTATACAAACTGATTTAAAGCAATCAAAAGGTTCTCCTTCCATATCAAGAAATTAACAGTAGGAAGAAAGTGACTAAAAAGCAAATGTGCTAAATCCTCTTTATGAAACACTGTCTCACACAGATGAGTCACACATGAGTCCTTTAAAGCACCATCATAAACTAACTGCTCTTGCATACAGCTTATAAATATCATCATCAACGATACACAAAACCTTCAAAAAGTATAATTATTATCTTATAAACATTAAGGTATTTATCTCAAATAACTGAAGAAATATCTTTGAAACAGATTCACTTTTTTATTCATTTTAATTAGATGAAATAATATGTCTATCATATCTCATTTAAATTTCACCATATGAAATACTAATTCTGTGAAATTACAACTTTAAAAAATAAGATTTCTTTAATTTTCCCAAAGCCATCAGATACTAATAAAGGAGAAAATTCACTTTTCATACCTTAAGGTAGCAGTGTGCATAGCAATAATGAAGCAGATTATCAGAAGGCTGAGTAAGGCTGCTGACCACATGCACCAAACGTTCAGCATACATCGGCACAGAATGGTCCAGATTAATTTTATCCACCAATATCTGAATAGCAGGCAAAGGCCGAAGAGACTGGAAGTTTGTAGTATTCATGAAGTTACTTGAGTTCTGCAAAACAACAGCACTCACTTTATATTTCAGTAGAACAGTGGCTGATGTGCAACGTTCTCTATACCAGCTTCCAACTGACACATCTTGCAGTAATTATTAAATCGATCTGGAAATGGCACCTTTCTATGAGACTCTCTTACTAAAATCAAAAACAAAACCTTCTACAAATTTTTAAGTATGTCCCAGATTTCAAAAAACTGCATAATTATTGCAAAATGATCACTCCCCTTTCAGCTAAAGCTTTTCATTGTTTCAATCAACTGTACAGTGCCACTGTGTACCTCGGCACATTTCTTCAGCCTAATCACTCAAAAGAACTTGCCTAGATATCCCAGAGCCTGCCACCCTTTACCCTCTTTCCCTTTGGATGACTTTTCACATTTAGATGACTTAGGGACTAAGTATACTACTTCAGACAGTTTCAAAAATACTAATAACAAGCACAGTTTGCAAAACAGAAAAATCTCTGGTCCATGTCGTATCTACTAACAATACACATGCTAAAGGCTCATAAAGTCCTAAGAATCTCAAGATAGGCTTAGTTTTCAGTGTTACCGAACCATTCTATAAGCTTCAAAACAAATGCAGGTAAGTTTCAAGATGTCCAGAATATCAACCCTGATTAGCAAACAACTCCCTCTTGTCCTAGAACTA